AATGCCTGCCACCACCACATCCTGATATGTGGGTTCAGCACTTGACAGCTAACAGATCTCTTTGCTAGATACAGAAATCACATTTTCTGGTTAAGGGAGTGAAATTAACATTTACCAATTTTTTTTTTTTTTTTTTTTTTTTTTTTGAGACCGAGTCTCGCTCTGTGTCTCGGGCTAGAGTGCAGTGGCGCAATCTCGGCTCACTGCAAGCTCCGCCTCCTGGGTCCAAGTAGCTGGGACTACAGGCGCCCACCACCACGCCTGGCTAATTTTTGTGTGTGTGTATTTTCAGTAGAGGTGGGTTTTCACTGTGTTAGCCAGGATGGTCTCGATCTCCTGACCTCGTGATCTGCCCACCTTGGCCTCCCAAAGTGCTGGGATTATAGTCGTGAGCCACCATGCCCAGCAACATTTACCAATTTTGTCTAGACTGTGGAACACTAGAACTCTGGTAGGTAGGAAGGTAAGTTGGTGCAAGGACCTTGGACAACTGTGTGGAAAATACTAAAGTTAAATGTCCACACAGTAACCCAGCACTCCACTCCTGGGTATATTTCCAGCACAGTTCATAACAGGCCCAAATAATACATCAAGGGTAGGATGAATATATTCTGTATCACAATTGTGGTGAGGGTTACGCAACTGTATATATTTGTCAAAACTCACAAACTGTACACGCAAAAGGGGAAATTTTAGCACTAACTTTGGCAGCACATATACTAAAAAAAAGGAAGACTTGGCCGGGCGCAGTGGCTCAAGCCTGTAATCCCAGCACTTTGGGAGGTCGAGACGGGCGGATCACGAGCTCAGGAGATCGAGACCATCCTGGCTAACACAGTGAAACCCTATCTCTACTAAAAAATACAAAAAACTAGCTGGGCGAGGTGGTGGGTGCCTGTAGTCCCAGCTACTTGGGAGGCTGAGGCAGGAGAATGGCGTAAACCCAGAAGGTGGAGCTTGCAGTGAGCTGAGATCCGGCCATTGCACTCCAGCCTGGGCAACAGAGCGAGACTGTGTCTCAAAAAAAAAAAAAAGGAAGACTTAATTTTACGGATGTAAGTTTTTCATTTTAATTTTGAAACAAGCCAGGAGCGGTGGCTCATGCCTGTAATCCCAACACTTTGGGAGGCCATGGCAGGAGGATTGCTTGAGCTCAGGAATTCAAGTACAGCCTGGACAACATGGCAAGATCCTGTCTCTACAAAAAAAGGAAAATTAGTTGAGTGTGGTGGCACGCACCTGTGGTCCCAGCTACTTGTGAGGCCAAGATGGGAGGATCACTTGAGCCCAGAATGTCAAGGCTGCAGTGAGCCACGTTTGTGCCACCGCACCCTAGCCTCAGCAACAAAATGAGACCCTGTCTCAAAAAAAAAGAAAAAAGAAAGAGAAAAGAAAAGAAAAGAAAATCAGCCTGGGCAACATGGTGAAACCTCATCTTTATTAAAAAATACAAAAAATATTAGCTGTGGTGGCATGCACTGATAGTCCTAGGTCCTGGGGAGGCTGAGGTGGGAGGATCGCTTGAGCCTAGAAGGTAGAGGTTGCAGTGAGCTGACATCACATCACCACACTCCAGCCTAGGCAATAGAGCAAGACCTTATCTCAAAAGAAAAATAAGTAAATAAATTATATGTGTGTGTGTGTGCGTGTATGTGTGTGTGTATACATATATAATAGAGACAGGCATTCACCATGTTGGTCAGGCTGGTCTCGAACTCCTGACTTTAGGTGATCTGCCTGCCTTGGCCTCCCAAAGTGCTGGGATTACAGGCGTGAGCCACCATGCCCGGCCATAAATAAGTATTTTTTAAAAGATAAGAGAAAGAGAGCAGGCACAGTGACTCACACCTGTAATCCCAACACTTTGGGTGGCCAAGGTGAGTGGATCATGAGGTCAGGAGTTCAAGACCAGCCTGGCCAACATTGTGAAACCCCATCTGTAGTAAAAATACAAAAAATTAGCTGGGTGTGGTGGCAGGCACCTGTAATCTCAGCTACTTGGGAGGCTGAGGCAGGAGAATCGCTTGACCGGGAGTCAGAGGTTGCAGTGAGCCAAGATCATGCCATTGCACTCCAGCCCGGGTGACAGTGTGAGACTCTGTCTCAAAAAAATAAATAAAAAATAAAAAATAAAAATAAAAATAAAAAATTAGCTGGGTGTGGTGGCAGGGGCCTGTAATCCCAGCTGATCAGGAGGCTGAGGCAGGAGAATCGCTTGAACCTGGAAGGCGGAGGTTGCAGTGAGTTGAGATCATGCCGTTGCACTCCAGCCTGGGCAACAAGAGTGAAACTCCGTCTCAAAAAAAAAAAAAGAGAGAGAGAGAGAGAGTAGGGGTATATTCAGCAATGAAGCAATGAAGAAGAAACAGACTCCTGCTATACAGGACAAAATAATGAATCTCAAAATCATTGTGCTGGGTGAAAGAAGCCAGACAAACGAGTACTCACTGTATAATTTCATTTATAGGAAGCTCGTGAACAGATAAAACTAAATTACTGACAGAGGTCAAAATAGTAGTTACCTCTGGAGTGAGGGTAACTGGGAGGGAGCCTCCCGAATTGATGGAAATGTCCTACATAATGAGCTTCGTGGTGGTCCTTTGGGTCTATGCTCCACGCTGAAGATCTGTGCCCTTGATGAAATGTCGATTATTCCCCAATTTTAAAAGAAAACCTTAATTTGTAAAATTGTCATGGCAAAACTTACCGGGTGAACAATTCAGACATTGAAGTGGATGAAGATTCTTCCCCATTCCCTCCAGACACCACTGTTCCCCGCACTGGCTCTCTGTGCTTATGCCAGCCCCATGCAGCTCTCTAACCATGTGAGCTGGCAGCACGTGGCTGCTCGGAACTCCTGCAGGCTGGAATTCCTGCCCCACCCTGGGCAAAGCTAAACAACTTTTAAAGCTGGCTGGCAGCCTGGGATTTTAAACTGCCTTCCTGCCTGATCCGCTTCCCTTTAGCACATCCAGGAAGAAAGTTATAGCTTCTCTTGCTGAGGGGGAAGGGAGACAAGACACCCCTGCCCCTATCTCCCTGAACTTTCCAGGGCAGAGGGGGTCCCGAGTCAGAAACTGAGAGGCAAGCCCACAGCACCCCCTTTCCCAGGCCCAGGCTCCTGCCTCCTCAGCAGAGATGTCAGCACCAGGGCCTTCTCTTAGGGAAGAGCTGTCTCCTGGCTTGACCAATCCCCCCATCTCTCCTGCAAAATGAGCTGAATACCTGCTGGGTGGGCTTAGGAGACATTATATCTAAAAGTGTCTAGAGCATACTAAGTATCCCATGGCTACAGCTAAGACTCAGATGGTGAGTTACAATGGGGACAGACGTGGCCAAGGACGTCAGCACTTGGCACAAGGCCTGGGCATTGTAGACACTCAGCCCATATTTCCTTCTCACCACGTGGCCTGATCCCAGAGTGGGAAGAGGATGCTCACAGCAGAAGTGAGGCTGCCCAGCCCCACCTGCCTGGCTGTTCTGGGATTAAGGTGGGAGGTAAGGAGGGATGGGATACTCCTGGGAAGGCTGAAATGGCTGCTTCTGTGTGATGTGGGGCAAATGAGTGCCTTCTCTGAGCTTTTGAAGCCGCTTTCCTCTGTGAAACCAGGAGGAAGGGTGGCTTCACAAGACCCCCTAAGCACTTAGGGTGGAGCAGGCATGCTAGCATGATGGTGCCCTGGGCCCATCCTCTCCCCTCCTCCATCTCCCTTTCTCAGGGGTCTGCACAAGTATTCCCCCTTTTCTGGGGCAAATCCTCTCACCAAATAAACGTTCGCCTTTCTATCGCTGCCTGCTAGGTGGGGGGGATTTCTGAAGCCTTGAGGTCCCTTCCCTCCCTGAGCACAGCCCAGCCCCAAGACTAAAACCACAACCCAATAACTCCCACCTATTGTGTCCTTGCAGAGGGCTGTGAACCAGGAGTGAAGACCAAGCTCTTGGGCATAAGAAATTTGGGAGAAAAAGCTAGAGATAGGGCAGGTGTCCTTTAGACTCAGCATGGGGATCTGGAGTCCCCTTTTTCTGCTCTGATAGGAAATAGCCTCCATTTTCCCATCTGCAAAATGGGGTGAATAATCATTGCATCACCTACTTCACAACATAGATGAACTGTCCCAGAAAGTGGTGAGCACGCCTGACATGTGTGCACTCTGTATCAGACAAAGACAGCATCTTATATATACAGATGCAAAGGAGTCCCTCCCATCGCACAGGTCCCATTTGTGTGGGTGGTGCTGGGGGGAGGGTGACCTGCAGTGGTATTCAGGGAGAATTTCCTCAGAAATCTGGGTTTGGTCTGTGCTCCCAGATTGGCTCTTTCCCACTTTCTTGAGGGAATGAGGCTGGCAAGGGCCCAAATCTTAAAAGGCCATGCCAGGAGTTCTTTATTTTTGAGATGGAATCTCATTCCGTTGCCCAGGCTGGAATGCAGTGGCACGATCTCAGCTCACTGCAACCTCTGCCTCCCGGGTTCAAGAGATTCTTCTGCCTCAGCCTCCCAAGTAGCTGGGACTACAGGCACGTGCCACCACACCTTGCTAATCTTTGTATTTTTAGTAGAGATAGGGTTTCACCATATTGGCCAGGCTGGTCTCAAACTCCTGACTTTGTGATCCGCCCACCTCAGCCTCCCAAAGTGCTGGGATTACAGGCGTGAGTCACTACGCCTGGCTGCCAGGAGTTCTTTAAGTTTATCCTGAGGACAATGGGGAGCCATTAATGATCCTTGAGTGATGAGGTCATTCTTGCCTTTCGGTACCAAGTTTAGGAAGGGCAAGCCTAGAAGTGCTTGGGAGGCCAGGTGAGGGGAAGGAGGGATTGAATCCAAAGTCCTGGCAGGAGTATCACCCGAGAGATGGAAGACATTGGGAGAAGAGGGGACAAGAGTATGAGGGCACCTCTCCAGCAACTCTTCCAGCCTCTGCTGACCTGTCCCCTACCCCAATCCTACCATCGGTGGGGTGCTAGGGTCTTGCCCAGGGCCCCACAGGACACAATGCTGGTTTCTCAACTTGCTCAGTGCTTTATTGAACCAAGGCCCTAACAGATGACTCAGCAGGGCCTTCAAGCACAGCCCTGCCCCCATCTTGAGATTCAGAATCCATAGGGTGCTGAGTCCTTGGTTTAGCTGCTTCTGTGACTTGAATATTTCCTCTTGAATAGATCCAAACCCTAAGTGTAAAGATTTCTGTCCACACAAATAGACACACATATATTCCTGCTGCAGGCTGTCATGCTCACCAAAACACTTTCACCTGGTTTGGGTGTGCAAGGCACTGTGCATCCATGGCCATCTACGGCCATCCACCCATCCATCCAACCTTCCATCCATCCGCAACAAGACAGCAGCAAGTTCTGACCAGTCAGGCCCCAGGGTTCACAGCAGTAGGGGCTGGGCTTCCAGCAGGCTCACGATTCAGGCCTTAGCCCTTGCCCTGGGAGCCCCCAAGGATAATAACATCCCTTTCTGGGGCAACAAAACTGGGACTGAGTGGGTAACTGATATTTGACAGGGGAACCTAAACAGTCTACGGAAATGTCCTGAGATGGGTATAAAGTCAAACAGACCAAGCACACAGGTAACACTGAAATAGGAAAGAGTAAGAGCTTCTGTTCAGGCTGGAGGTGCTTGTATGGTGGGACAGGAAAGAGGAAAAGAGAAAGGGGCAACATGGCAGACATACCACGGTTCCTACAGAGGTTAGGGGCAGTCCTGGCCTGGGAAGTACACAGGGCAGAGAGCTGACTCCCAGGCCAGGAAGGAGTTTAGCTCTGACCCATCCTCGGGGACCATGGCTCTCCCCCAGCCTCTGCTGACACACACACAAAGGAGCTTTTCAGGACACAGGAAGATGAGGGGTTAACCCTAACAAGGAAACAAGAAGCTCCTTGAGGACACAAAATACTGCCTTTAAGCTGGTATTAACCCAACTTAACTCAACAGACTGGGCTCTTCCAGGGGTGGGGGGCACCAGGATATGGAAAATGATGGGATGACACAGGGGAATCGGGGCTGGGGCAGACAGGCAGGACACCCACACCATCCTTCCCATGGACAGCACCTGAGGCCTCCAGCAGGCCCTCAGCCTGGCAGGCCCATAGGGCAGCTGGCTTCAGGCCTGGAAAGGCAAGGGAGGTAGCAGGACTGATGCAGGCCCTCACTGGTCCTGCAGCCGGCTACAGAGCTCCCGCCGGCTCCGCTCCCCAGCCCAGCTGCGAGTCTTGAGGCGGAAGGTCTTCAGCTCATCCTTGAAGGCCTCGTGGTTCATGGGCCGGTAGTCCTGGGGTTCACAGAAGTTCTAGGGCAGGATAGGAGGGTTCAATGCAGTGGAATGGGTAAATTTGACAGGGACCCAACCCTCCCAACCCCCTCCCATGGCTCCAGCCTGGCCAAGCCAACCCTCACACGAAGACAGTGGCCTTCCCCACCCACGCTACCGGGTGCTGAGGGAAGAACTCCTTGTAGCCGCCTTTCAGGATATACATCTCGGGGTAGTAGAGGCTAGGGTAGTCGTTAACAGCACGGTCTCGTTCCCTGATGAAACGGCACCTGAGGCATCATGGGCAGGGTGTGGTCAGAACGGGACATGCAGTGGCTTGTACATCATAGGACCTATTCCCCACGTCCCCTCCTTTGAGGGCCTTGGGGAGCCACAGAAGGCTTTGAGCACAGGAATGTAACCAAAAGAATACTTTTTAGATTAGTCTGGCTACAGAAGAGGGTGGGGAGGTGGAAGGAAGGAGGTAAAATCAAGGGGATGTGCTCTCTGTTTCTAGAAAGCAGTTACACCATCTTTGTTAGAGATATCTGTGCCTGGACCAGGAAAGGAGAAGCAGGAGAGGAGACAAGTGGGCCAAATTCAAGGGACCCATTCGGGCCACTCCTGGACAAGACCCAGTGAGGATCAGCGGTGGGAAGAAGGGAGGAGGAGGACCCAAGACTGAAGCCAGTGCCCAGGCCTGGTGCCCCGGTGGAAGTGGGTGCCACATGCTGGGATGCCTGGAGAAGATGGGAGGGCCACAGGGATGTGACTCTGTAAGGGGCCTCTGGGTACAGATTCCCACCACATGGGTGAGGCCAGACTGGGTAGTCACTAGCAGTCTGATGGACCAGTGGCAACCCAGAAGGAGGCAGGGGTGGGAGGACAGATGGCCAGGCAGAACAGGAACAGGGACAGAAGGAGCTCAGCCAGGGAGGGCCCAGGTGCTGTGGATGCCAGTGGAGGAGGTTCCAATGGAGACCTAACAGCACTGAACATGGGGAGGGTCAGTGTCACTGGGGACTGACATGGGGCCCTTAGATTTCGAGAAAGACACTGCTAGAGACTTGGAACTAGATTTTCTGAGGGTGGCAGCAATGGATGGGGGTGGACATGAGGTTTGATAGGCAGGACAGTGAGGGAGATGGGAGGTGGGTACCATGCGCAGTGAAGCGGGGCTGAGGTCAGCTCTAGGCCATCAGATGGGACAGAGCAGAACCCTGACTTGCACCCCTGGCCATCGCAATGGTGCCAGCACCTGTGAGCCTGGGCAGGGAAGGCCGGGGCAGACACTAGCTGGCTGGGCGGAGCTGGGACTCACATGCGGGGCCCACGCTCAGATGAGAATTCACAGTGGAAAATGAGGATGACTCTCTTGTCCAGGCTACAGGGTGTGATGGGGCTCTGTAGCAGGAAGCTCTCGGCGTCGCGTTCCAGGGGCAAGTTCACCGCAGTCTGTCAGAGGAGCCAGAGGTCAGGCACAGCCCTGGGCCCAGGAGGCAGGCCCTTCCCCCTGCAGTCCCTGTCCTTCTCTTGGTAGGAACCCTCCCCACGAGAGGAGGCACCCGTCCTCCACCCATTCTTGCTCTTGGCAGAGCAAGGACCTAAACCAGGTGGGATCTTCAGGGCCTCTCCCCATTGCCCCACCTTACCTTGATGTGCCCGCCTTCATACTCATAGGGGTATCTGCAGTCCACAATCACAAATTTATCCACGATGTTGCTGAACTTGCCCATCAACAGAGCCACCATCTGTAGGAGGTCATGGGGGTTGGTTCCAGAAGGTCAGGCTGGCAGCCAGCAGGTGGCCCTAGCCCGTCCTCTGGCACAGTTCATACAGCCTGTCCCCAGGGAAGGTCAACAACGGAGCTACAGTCCTAAATATGCCTAGAAAATGGCGCAACGCTGTTTACCGTTTCTGGTGAGATGTACTTGAGGTCTTGGTGCTTTCCATCTACCGTCTGTAGGAGGAAGGCCTGAAGGGAAGGGAAGGGATGCGGGAGAGAGGAAAAAGTTAAATTGGTAAGACCAGGAGCCTGGAAAGAATGAAGTTTCATTCCCAAACTCAGAGGCCACACCTGCTTTGGCCTTCAAATTCAGCTCTGGGTCCCATAGCAACTGAGAGGGCCTCTTGGGTCTGACACCCAGGGAACAACCTTCCAAGGGGAAAGGGAAATGAAAAAGGGAAGTGGAAGAGATGAACTCCACACTCTGCTCCCTACCCTCTGCCAAGCCCGAAGGTGAGGCATGATGGGGTTCCAAGCTAGGTATGAGCTTGGAAATAAGATGGAGACGCAACAGATGCCTGGACTGACTTGAGGTGGACTCAGGAGACAAGGAGGGCCAGAGGGAGGAGTCTATATGAGAACGAAGGATGAAAAGATACAAAGGGGCCGGGCGCGGTGGCTCAAGCCTGTAATCCCAGCACTTTGGGAGGCCGAGACAGGCGGATCACGAGGTCAGGAGATCGAGACCATCCTGGCGAACACGGTGGAACCCCGTCTCTACTAAAAATACAAAAAAAAAAACTAGCCGGGCGAGGTGGCGGGCGCCTGTAGTCCCAGCTACTCCGGAGGCTGAGGCAGGAGAATGGCGTAAACCCGGGAGGCGGAGCTTGCAGTGAGCTGGATCCGGCCACTGCACTCCAGCCTGGGCGACAGAGCCAGACTCCGTCTCAAAAAAAAAAAAAAAAAAAAAAAAGAAAAGATACAAAGGACAAAGAAAAGGGGAGCTCTGGGGAGAGGGAGAAACTCAAGCATCCCCTAGGCTACAGGACCCCTAGTCAGTAAGAGGTCAAGCCCCCAAGGGGTCCTTCGCTGCTGCAGGTACCTTAGAGTAATCTCCAATCAGCTCTCGGTGGTCACTGTCCAGGAGGTTCTCAATCTCATCGTGACACAGTGATTTTGAGCGGAGGACGCGGACTTTCTGGAAAGTGAGCCAGATGGAGGCCAGAGTCAGGGTGGGGCTGTCCCTCAATGCCCTGTCTGGCTGGTACCCCCTTTCTCTGCCATGCCCAGGCTGCCACCTGCCCTCTGCCACAAACTTAGCCAAGGGGGTGGCTGCCCAGGTGCATGCAAAAGTGGGCTCCAGGAGGAAGGCACTCACAGGTTCCTCAGGCTCCTGCTGCTCCTCAGGAGGGGTCACACTCCGCCTCCGCTTATTCTGTACAGGTGTGTCCCTGTCCTGGGGCCGCTCCAGCCTCTTAAGGATGGGCCGGATCACGCTGCAGGGCATGGACGGAGAGCGGAAGAGCCGCTGGCACTTGCTGTACATGACCAGGTCCTGGTGGAGATAGCAGGTTAGGGATCAGAGTGCCCAGGCCCCACCCCATCCCTCAAATCCACTGGAGGGTAGGATGGACCTCATGCCTCCAAATTCGGAGGGGCCACCCCAGAGGCACACCTGTTCCTCTTCCTTTTCCAAGGTCTTGACCAGTGGGGCGCTAATGAGACTCTCCATGCCTGGGGGAACTGCATCATCATCCTGAGGCCGGATTAGCAAGGATAGGGTCACACCCACAGGCATAGGCCAAACCCCTCCAGTCCCGGAATCCTCCAGCACAGCCTTCCCTGTTTCCCTGGCAAACCCCAGGTTGGGGTGAGAAGCTCCCCTACCTCCGCAACCTCCCCTCCACTGTGGCACCAGCCACCTGCTCTTCTCTGATTGGCCAGAGGTTAGGCTGTTACTCGGTTACCTCAAATTCTTCTTCTGACACTGGAACGAGGTCACGGTCCTGCCACAGGGGCTCAGAGCTCTCTTCTTTTGGGTGAACCCAGAGATGGGGAGGTAGGGGCCTGGCGGGACAAGTCTGTTTACCTTTAAGTCACTCTCTAGGATGTCCACAAATCCATCATCTTCCTCGGTATCCCCCTCTGCAGGGGTGAGAGAGAAGCGACCTCGGGCCAGGGGGCTGAGTTCCTCCACTTCCATCTTCCGCTCAGGACTGAGACACTGTCCACATGACAGGCAGACACAGACTTAGAGGTGGGGACAGTTCTTGCCCCCATCATCCTGAGGAAAAGTTCCCAGTGCCCGGGGGCTCAGGGCCACCCTCCTCTTCCCTCAGGCTGCCTCCCCAGGCCCCTGCCAGGGGTCAGCTCTCTGGATGTACCATCAGGTCAGGGGCCGAGCTGGGCCTCTGGGCAAAGGCTTCCCTGCGGCTGGCCCACTCTGCCAGAGCATGGGTGGAGCTGGGATGTGTGGGCTTCCATGGCATCTTGAAGACAAACCCATCCTGCAGCCAAGATGGGAGAGGAGGGTCCTCACGTGCCAGGAAACCACCCCAGCATGCCCCCTCCTCTCCCCGGAGAGCTCCCATCCCGGTCTTCCAGAAGCGCACGTTCTCCTTGTCTTCCCCAGAGCTGCTGGCAGCTCCACCGCCCGCCTCGCTCTTCCTCTGGCCGTCGGGCGCCTGGGAGTTGGTGATGTTCCGAAGCACGGGGCTTTGACCCAGCAGCCTCACCTAGAGAGCCAAGCAGGGCAGCAGGCAGAGGAATGAAGGCTGCATTACTCCGGCACCAGCCCAGGCCCTACCTTCTCCACCTCTCCTCCAGCTCCTCCCACTTACCTATCTACCTCTGAAACCCCATCTCCCACAGCCTGCCCGGGACACCCAGCTGGGAGGTGATCCCTGGATGCCTCCTGCTCATCTACCCCATACCTGGCCAGCATGTCTAAGCCTCAGTCAGGCCTCAAAGATACTCACCGGCATAGACTGGAAGCGTCTGATGGCAAACTGCTCTCTACAGGAGGAAATGGGGACAGGTGAGAGCTGGGAGAGGCAGGGCAGGGACCGAGAGCATGTAGCATGCCCTTCCGGATCCCTATACATCCTAGGGGAAAGCCTGTGGTAGATGGAAGAGGTCCGGGAACACTTACTTTCGAATGACCCGGCTGGCTGCCTGGATGGCCTGTTCAAACCTAGGACAGAGAAGGGTCCCATGCAACCTATCCTCCCTTTGCACCCATCACCCACCCCAGCACCAGGCCCCCAGTCCCCCAGTCCCCCAGTTCCCAGTACCAGGTCTCCAGTCCAGGGGGGAATAAGGGCAAAGACAAGGGCCAGGGCTCAAGCCAGTGGAAGGGGTTGGGTAGGAAGAACGCCCAACCATCAGGGGGCCCAGGTATTGGGGAGGGGGGAGATAAGAGGCAGCCTAGAATTTTAAAGGCTGCCCTGAATGAAAGAAAGCCCAGAGAATGACAGTGATAGAGACAGCTGGGGCAGGTCACAGGGTCAGGGAGGCGTCACCAAGGCAACAGTCTCGCCAGCCTGCACCAGGCCTTCCACCTGTATGCAAATCACCTCAGCGGGGCCATATGGCTGCCAGGAAAGGCATCCATCCATCCTATGGTGATAGGCCAGGGGCACCCAGCAATGTGGGTGTCTCCAGGGCCTGGACAACAAGGCGAGGCTTCCTCTCCCCTGTGAGGAGCTGGCCTGGCTCCCGGTCCTCCCAGGACTGGGGCCTGCTTTAGGGGTCCCCCAAGCAGCTCCAGTCTGATACAGCAGACCCCCTAGTGACAAACGTGCAGGGCCACATCCTCTCCTCCCTCTTATGGAATTTTCCAGGACCAGCCTCTGTCCCACCCCCTCCTTCTGCCTTAGAAGAGGCCAGCAGGCAAGGGATTCCAACACATGTTCCCTCTGAGGCCCCACCCCCGAGCCGTGTTACAGGAGACCACCTGCCACGAAGAGCTTTTGTGCATCTACACACACACAGACACACACACACACACAGAGCTTCTTTCTGAGAAACTCTGTATAACTGTCAAAGCAGGTGTGGGGCAGGGAACCACTCAGGGATAAAGTATGAGGGGGATGCCCCCTGGGGGGGCTGCTGTGCCCAGCCGACCCGGCATCAGGGATGACCAATTTCATTGGCTTGCACATGAGCCTTGGGGGTAGGGCAAGACTGCTCTGTGCTGCCACCAAAACCAACCTGCAGTCCCCCAACCCCACCCAATCCTCTCCCCATTTCCTGTTTGTGAACCAATCTGCAGCCCAGCGTAGTCTGATCAAAGGCAATGGGAGGTAAGACAAGTCACTACCCTAAACCCAAAGCCACAGTCCCCAGCACAGGCTAGGGATGCCCAGCTGTCCCTACTAATGGCTGGCAGCTGCCCAGCTGCTTGGGCTTTAACAACTGGACGGGAACAGCTGTGCTCTGGAAGACACCACCCACGCCCACAGCCAAGGGGAAGGTGTCTGTCCAGGCCAGAGCCCACCAACTCTCTCTCCATTCCCTTGCACAAAGAGCCTGGACCAGGGCTGGCCAGAGGGTCAAGTGTCATCGAAGTCAAAGGTTGCTGATTGGCCAAGAGCCAAATCAATCTGCAGGCAACTGTGTTTTGTTTGGCCTAGAGTGAGTTAAAGTTTTGAATTAACTGGATCATATTTTTAAATTGTAATATTTCACAGAAAAAAAAGGGTATAGGCAAGAAAGAAAAACAGGACATACGCTGGGCTTGTATTCCTGCAAGACATGGGCTGTAGCCTAGTATCTGCTCTCCCATTGGCCACTGTCCCCACCACCCCTGGCCCTGAGCCCACTCTTGGTTGGCTCCCATGAGAGCAGATCCTTCTCTGAGACAGGGAGCAGAATCCCAGGGCCTGAGAAGGTTAGTGAGCCCCCCGACCATGGGGATCCTGAAGCCACCCCATGGTCTGCCTGTTTTCCCAGGCCTCCCCAGTGAGTTTATGCTAGAACCAGGATTCTTAAAGGCAGGTGCTGACTGCTTGGTAGTAGATATTCCCTTCTCTACTCACGTCTGCTCCGCCATCTGGGGGTCCACGGGGCTGGGGGAATCCATGCAGAGACCTGAGGGGACAGAGCACCTTGGTTTGAAAGTAGTGGCAATTTCTGTATACTTTCCCCAACCATGTCCCAATAAGAAAAAAAAAAGAAAAAGAAAAGTTTCTAGTTTGGACTTTGGCACATTAGAAAATGAAACAAAACCCAATTATGGACCCTGAGAGCTGACACATCGTCTCCCAAATGGTACAGGACGCCACTCCCTGTTTACTATGGAAATTCCTTTATATGTGTCTTTAAACTACAATGCTCGCTAAGTATTTTTCCTGAACTGATTTCAAACAATTTGTTCTAGAAGAGACAACAGATTTTTAAAGAAGAGGTTATAGACTAAGAATGTTTTCAAGACCAACTCAGCCCTGGGTGCTTCCCAGGTAGGGCTGTGGTTTAGGAACTTTGGTGTGTGGTTTTACATAGGTAAGATCTCATCTAGCGTAGAGGGCCCCACCCTCTCATCCACTCAGCCAGTCCACATTGGGTGTGGTGAGCCCCACATGAGGTGTGTCTTCCTCCCATCTCTGTGGAGGCTGGGGGAAAGGCTCCTGGGCCCACCAGGTTGTGGGGAGGATGTTAGTTTGATCGGCAGGGAAATCGGGAGGCCCAGGCAGCCCCCACAAACTCTCCTGGCACTGGCAGATCTCCCCAGGCTCCCCTGGGCCTCACCTGCATCAGAAGATTCGGAGGATTCAGACGACAGGGAGGATTCAGATGCCCGTCGAGACAGGGATAGGCTCGTCAGGCGGCTGTGGCTGCGGAAGAGCAGGGTCCCTACCTGACTCTTTGGGGTTTCGCTGGGAAAGGAGCAGGGACCCGGGAAAGGAGAAAGGTGGGGTTCAAGGCCTTGCTAGCCCACGTTCCCACTCCCTCACTGAGAAAAGAACTGAGCGAAACGCTGCAGTGGGAAAGCAATGGCCCTGAGGGCCGGCCCTCTTCTCAGCTCAAGGCAGGTTCATTCTACAGAGGTCCTAAAGGGGCTTTTCTTTGTTGACTGGTTTAGGAAAGGTCCTCCCAGGTGCAGGGGAAGGTGAGCCCAGGGTGTAAGCAAGGCGGCCTGGATGGAGACCAGCCTAGGGGCTGGTGGTCTAGCCGAGACGCCCAGGAGAGCCTTCCCCTAAACTGTCAGACCCTGTCAGACCCCCATCTTTCCAGGATCCTTCCTGAAGGATGGACCGAGACCAGGTTCTCCTACTGGAACAACCCAGCTCTCCCCTTGCACTTAGGGAGCAGGATCAGTGTTTAATTAATTGCCTTAATTCTGGGGGCAGAATTGGGGTGGAGGGAGCGGGGGTATGGATGTGTGAGTGCCCCACGGCTCTGCCACCCTCAAGTTCCCTCTCCAGGCTTGGGAATCCCATCCTGGAGCAAAATGGTGGCTATCTGGGCAGAGATTAGGGAAGTAGCGTGGTGGAGGCACAATGAGGGAGGAGGGAGTGAGGGGAAAGACTTGGAGAGGCTTGTGTAGACTGAGAGCAGGTCACCTGGAGGGTGTGGGGGGCACAGCCCAGGTCTCACCTCCCATGTCCTGGGCCCCTGTGAAGGGACAAGGGCGTACCTCTCCACTGCCCAGGATGCCTCCCCCGGACTCCACCTCCTGGATTCGAATACCATGCCCGGTTCTCCAGGAGGCCCAGGACTCCAGACCGGGCCTCTCACCCCCATATCCAGCCTCCTTGGGGTGTCCTACCTGCCGAGCCCGGCGAGGTCATGCATGGTCTGGGTGAGGGTGGTGACCGGCGAGGAAGCGGTCGCGCGCACCGGAGACACCAGGAGGCCATGAGATCCCAGCAGGAGGCCCGGGAGGTGGCCGGGACGCTGGGCGCCACCGCGCACGCATGCCGGACTGCGAGCCGAGCCTGGCGCGGGCTCCGGCTGGGGCACCTCCATCGCTGCGGGGTCGGCAGAAAGCTGGCTGGAGGGCCGGGCGCAAGGCAGCCAACAAACGCCGGCACAGCTGGCTGGGCCGAGGGAGGCAGCGGGCGCGGGGGGGGTGGGGGGGGAAGGGAGGGAGGGAGGAAGAGCCACAGGGCCAGGCGCGAGGGAGGAGAGGGATGCGGGGAGGGCGGGGGGCGAGGGACGCGGGGCTCAGGCACCAGCCTGGGAAGCCTCTAGTTGCAGCTGCCACTTCCACCTCCTTATATATTCGAAAAATAACAGCGGCCGCGCCGCCGGACGCCACCAATAGGGTAGCGGGTTAGAGGAGGGCGGGATTGAGGGCGGGGCCCTCAGGGCGAGAGGCGCGGAGGCTGGATATCTAGGCTTTGGGTGGGCCGGAGGAATTAGGAATCATCCCGTACCCTCGCACATCCCCCTGGCGCGAGGATCCAGGCCTCCCGAAATCATCCTGTCGCGACATGGTTTGGAGCTCCACACTCCCAAAGGCAGCAGCAACGCCCTAGGGTGGCCTCCGCAGGACGCCCCGCGGCATATCGTCACCTGGTATCACCGCTAGGGACTGGGAGAGGCTCCAACCGGCTCCCGGAAGTTTGCTAAACACAGCTGGGCTGTGCGGTCTGCGTTAGATACCCCATTTTACAGACCTGGCCGTTGAGGCGTGAAGTTCATTAACTCGTTCAAGGTCACGCGGTTGGGCAGGCAGTGGGCCAGGATTCGCTTGCTCCAGGCGCCTCCGACCCCGCAGCCTCCCCGCCCCCGCAAGTGGCTGCGCTGAGCAGCAGCAAAACGTCATTTGCAGGCGGAGCGCCCAGCTTAGGAGGTGGGAGGGCAGTGGGGCCCCCAAGCGGAACTGACGGGCGCTTTCGGGGGACCCCAGGTTAGATGTTACCCCAACCGGTCCAATTTTCGCGGCAGACCCAGTAGAGGCTCTGAACGGTGGAACTAGGCATGGATTTCCGCGGCTGGGGGTCGAGGAGGGTGTCAGCAACCGGAGAAGTGAATTAAGTATCACGCCCATTGATGACTTAGCTAACTTGGTGGCAATGGCACCATATTATTTAATTGGTGTTTCTTTGATGACCAGACCAGAGAGGCTGAATTTGCCATTCATTTAAGCCAAGCGTCTTCCAATTATCTTTTTCTTTTTCCTTTTTTTTTTTTTTTTTTTTTTTTTTGACAGAGTCTCGCTCTGTCACCCCGGCTGGAGTGAAGTGGTGATCTCTGCTCACTGCAAGCTCCGCCTCCCGGGTTCAAGCGATTCTTCTGCCTCAGCCTCCCGAATAGCTGGGACTACAGGCGCACGCCACCACACCTGACTAATGTTTTGTATTTTCAGTAAAGACGGGGTTTCACCATATTAGTCAGGCTGGTCTCGAACTCCTGACGTCGTGATCCACCTGCCTAGGCCTCCCAAAGTGCTGGGATTGCAGGCATGAGCCACAGCGCCAGGCCCATCTTCCAATTATCTAAATGCCTTCCAGCCCCGCCCGTTTTCCAGGCCTCCTGGAACAAGAGGCCTGAAGGCTGCACTGAAAAGCCAGTGGGTAGTAAGCAGCTTTCATATAGGATACCGTCTCTCCAGGTTAGAAGTGGCCTCTGGCTGGGTGGGCAGTGGGGGGGCGGGCTGCAGTTCAGCAAGGCAGGAGCGCCCCTTCTCTTGAAGTCCCAGCCACCTGGACCCAAATTTTTGGGGGTGGCAAAAGGGAGGGCCTGGTGATGGGGGGCTGGGTGGGCCAATGCATGTGAAGGGGAGGGGAAGACCCCAGCCCCACTTTAGAGGGGTGGCCAATGTGGGAACCATGACCTTTCCTTTTCTCCACATTTTGCCCAGTTCCTGTGCTGTGCAGAGGGCTCTACAAGACTGAATTTCCGGTTCATCCTCCCTGGGTCAGGGTCATGCCCTGGACCTCCAGCCACTACTTCCAGTGAGGATGTGACTGCCCTTAGTGCCAGGAGGGAAGGGGGAAGTGCCCTTGTGAGGCTACCCAGCCCCAAAACCAGAAATAAAACCCCCAAGATTTGCGTTTTCAAAATAAACACAGCAGGTATCCCCCTACCCCTCACCCAGCCAACATACAGGGCAACAATGCAGGGTGGGCATTATACTGTTGAATCCCTTGAAATCCCAGTCAGGTCACCTCTGGGCCGGTGAGTGGGGAGGTGGGCAAGACCATAGAGGGGTTCTGGGTTTTTGTGTTTGTTTGTTTGTTTGAGATGGAGTCTCACCGTGTCACCTAGGCTTGAGGGCAGTGGCATGATCTCGGCTCACTGCAACCTCCGCCTCCTGGGTTCAAGCGATTTTCCTGCCTCAGCCTCCCAAGTAGCTGGAATTACAGGTGCCCGCCACCATTCCCAGCCAATTTTTTATTTTCAGTAGAGACAGGGTTTTGCCATGTTGGCCAGGCTGGTCTTGAACTCCTGACCTCAGGTGATCCACCCATCTCGGCCTCCCAAAGTGCTGGGATTACAGGCGTGAGCCACTGTGCCTGGCCCACATACATAATTTAAAATATGCTAGTAGCCACATTTAAAACAATAAAAAAGAAACATGAAATTACTGTAATATTTTATTCAATGTAATGTATTCAAAATATTATTTGACATGTTATCAATATAAAATTATTGAGATATTTTACATACTTTTTCGGATACCAAGTCTTCAAACTCTAATATGCATTTTACACCCCCAGCACATCTCAATTTGTACTTGCAACATTTAAAGGGCTCAATAGTGCTGGAACTGTGGCTCACACCAGTAATCCCAGCAACTCCAGAGCCTGATGCAGGGGAATTGCCTGAGGCTAGTAATTCAAGACCAGCCTGAGCAATATGGTGAAACCCTGTCTTTACAAAACATTTTTAAAATACTTAGCTGGGTGTAGTGGCCCCTGCCTATAATCCAAGCAACTCAGTGGCTCCCCACCTGTAATCCCAGCACTTGGGGAGGCCGAGGCAGGTGGATCACAAGGTCAGGAGCTCGAGACCAGCCTGGCCGACATGGTGAAAACCCATCTCTACTAAAAATACAAACATTGCCGGGCGCGGTGGCTCAAGCCTGTAATCCCAGCACTTTGGGAGGCGGAGACGGGTGGATCACGAGGTCAGGAGATCGAGACCATCCTGGCTAACACAGTGAAACCCCATCTCTACTAAATATTACAAAAAAACCTAGCCGGGCGAGGTGGCGGGTGCCTGTAGTCCCAGCTACTCGGGAGGCTGAGGCAGGAGAATGACGTGAACCCGGGAGGCGGAGCTTGCAGTGAGCCGAGATCTGGCCACTGCACTCCAGCCTGGGCGACAGAGCAAGACTCCATCTCAAAAAAAAAAAAAAAAAAAAAAAAAAAATACAAACATTAGCTGGGCCTGGTGGCACGCACCCGTAATCCCAGCTCCTCAGGAGGCTGAGGTAAGATAATTGCTTGAACCTGGGGGGTAGGGGTTGCAGTGAGCCAAGATCGCGCCATTGCACTCCAGCCTGGGTGAAAAGAGCAAGACTCCGTCTCAAAAACAAACAAACAAACAAACAAACAATCCAAGTGACTCTGGAGGTTAGCTTGAACCCAGGAGTTTGAGTCTGCAGTGAGCTATAATTCCACCACTGCACTCCATCCTGGGCAACTGAGTGAGACTTTGACTCTAAACATAAAAATAAATTAATTTAATAGTTCAGTGGCCACTTAGGGCTAGTGGCTGCAGGTCTATATCTTTACAAGCGTAAATCCATCTGTATTTTAAAGAATATACAAACAGCATATGAACATTGTTCTAGGCTGGCATGCTGGCTCACACCTGTAATCCCAGTACTTTGGGAGGCCAAGGTAGGTGGATCATCTGAGGTCAGTAGTTCGAGATCAGCCTGGCCAACATGGTGAAACCCTGTCTCTACTAAAAATGCAAAATTAGCCAGGCATGGTGGCGTGCACCTGTAATCCCAGCTACTTGGGAGTCTAAGGAAGGAGAATCGCTTGAACCCGGGAGGCGGAGGTTGCAGTGAGCCAAGATCGTGCCACTGCACTCCAGCCTGGGTGACAAAGTGAGATTCTGTCTCAAAAATAAATAAATAAATAAAAATAAAAACCATGGCTCTGTACCTTTCTTCATCTTACTTGGAGATGGATCCATATTAGTACCATAACAATATATATTTACTCAAGCCCCTAATGCTGAATATTTAGGATATTAGCTTTTACAATGATGCAATAAGTATGCCCTTATGTGTCTGTGTGCCATCTACAAGATGAATTCCTAGGGAGGAACTGATGGGAGGCACAGCATTAAGTTTGTTTTCTGTTTTTGTTTCGAGTCTAAGTCTCTCTCTGTCACCTAGGCTGGAGTGCAGTGTTACAATCTCGGCTCACTGCAACCACTGTCTCCTGAGTTCAAGCATCCCTCCCACCTCAGCCTCCCGAGTAGTTGTGACTATAGGCTCATGCCACCATACTTGGCAAATTTTTGTATTTTTTGGAGAGACTGGGTTTCATCATGTTGCCCAAGCTGGTCCTGAACTCCTGGGCTTAAGCGATCCACCCGCATCAGTCTCCAAAAGTGCTGGAATTTCAGGCATGAGCCACCATGCCCAGTAGCATTAAGTATTGAAATCTCCTTTTCCCTTTCTTGAATCCCATCTCCTCAAGCTGACTGGGCTATTGAAGGACAAGGACCAAATCATTTACCTCTCTCCTAGGCTCCCAGAACCTTGCATAGGTTCAAGACCAGAGTTGGCCTCTGACCCTAATATCCTACTTCTCAGCATTTCTCTTAAGGAGATGATAAACGTACACAGAGATGTATGTTCATTGAGTTATTGTCTTCAATAGGGGAGTTGATTCCTCTGTATTGTGCAATACCTGCAACCTTTAAGGAGAATTTGCAGTCGGGTGGGGATGCCTGCTTGGTAGGGGCTCAATAATTGTTCATTATTGAAAGACTACATATTGAGATCATAGCAAATGGACAAAAGGGTTTGAACAAAAGGTTCCTATAGTAAAAGAAGTGTGGGCGATGGCTCATTGCCTATAATCTCAGCACTCTGGGAGGCCAAGGAGGAAGAATCACTTGAGCTCAGAAGTTCGAGACCAGCCTGGGCAACATGGTGAAACTCTGTCTCTACAAAAGAATACAAAACTTAGACCGGGTGCAGTAGCTCACACCTGTAATCCCAGCACTTTGGGAGGCCCAGGCAGGTGGATCACCTGAGGTCAGGAATTCGAGACCGGCCTGGCCAACATGGTGAACCCTGTCTCTACTAAAAATACAAAAATTAGCCAGGTGTAGTGGTTGGCGCCTATAATCCTAGCTACTTGGGAGGTTGAGGCAGGAGAATTGACTGAACCCATGAGGCAGGGGTTGCAGTTAGCTGACATTGCGCCATCGCACTCTAGCCTGGGTGACAAGAGTGAAACTCTGTCTCAAAAAAAGCAAAGAAAACACACACACAAAAATTAGCCTGCAATGGTGGTGGGTGCCCGTAGTCCCAGCTACTCTGGAGGCTGAGGTGGGAAAATTGCTTGAGCCTGGGAGGCTGAGGCAGCAGTGAAGCAGTGAGCAGTAACTGAGCCACTGCACTCCAGGTTGGGTGACAGAGCAAGACCCTGTCTCAAAAAGAAAAAAAAAAAAGTGTGAAATTCACTGATGTAGCTATTTATCGACATGAAAAGATGTTCACAATATGGGCTACGAAATATTATGCCAAGTGTAGTCCCATTAAACACAATATGCATGGCTGGGTGCGGTGGCTCACGCCTGTAATCCCAGCACTTTGGGAGGCCGAGG